TAATAATTTTTATTTTCTATACCAGGGGTCGGCAATTAAATTCTATGGAGGTCCAGAAAATCAAAAAAAAAATGTCGAGGGCCAGTAAAAACTAAAAACTCAGATATTAGTTAATAATTGTTGTGTTATCGCAGCTATTATTGTAAATAGCAATAAACGATAAAAACCATCGTAATCTCTAAATATATCATAAAATAGATAAAATATATATTATGCGTGGAAAACCGGCATTATTATAAAAAAAAATAAATATTTTTTGTGGTCCAATTATTTTTCCTTTGCGGGCCGGATTTGGCCCGCGGGCCGCCTATTACCGACCACTGTTCTATACCTACTAATCTTATTATTTGTTTTATTATATTTAAGGATTTTAATTTAACATAAATAATCAGTATTAATTCAAACAACAATATTTATCATTTCTTGTTATTGAAGTCTTAATGTTATTTATAACTTGATTTGTTCTTTCACAATGAGTCAATTTTTAAATATACCAGAATCGTATAAGTAAAGACATCACAACTGTTGCTATAAAAGGATTGGGTAAGATAATATTTATTTATAACTAAATTGTACTTTTTAATAAAATACTGAAGTGGTTGATCAAAGTTTTAATGACAATTATTATTTTAAATGTTCTTTTTAGGATGTGATAATGACACAGTGATTTGTACAACAGATAAAAAACTTATGACGTTTTTTAAAGGATGTCTATGATGGGGGGAGTAGACAGATGGCGGGGTAAATGTACGTCACACCGAACATGAAGATGAGGGGATAGGGAATCGGACCCTAAGTTGAAAGATCAGACAAGATCAGAAGATCAGAAGACTAGCCACCAGAACATACCTTTTCATACTACTCATACATTTTATTAAATATATATTTTTCATAATCGCAATTCTCGAAATTCAAAAATTATAAAATGGTTTTTCCTGACTTTAAAATTATTAATTAATCAAAAATTAAAAACATCCCCTTAAAAACCCCATCTGACTTAGATACTGCGGTACATTTTCTTTCTAATATCATCCAAGCTGCTGCACTCGATGCCTCCCATAGCAACCCTTCCACCACTCAATCAATATCTTACCCTCTCACATAATACAACTTATCACAGAAAAGCGTCGTGCCCGCCGTACTTGGCAAAGAACTCACTTAACAAGCGACAAAAGACACTTCAACATTCTCACTAACTCCTTAACAAATATTCTCCGAAAATACAATTCTGACAAATTTCACAATTACTTGGAATCTCTCTCTAATGCAGACAACTCACTTTGGAAAGCCACTAAAAAAATCTTAAAGGAAAAAAGTAAAATACTTCCCCTACGGTATCCCGACAACTCCCTAGCATCATCCAATCTTGACAAAGCAAACTTATTCGCATCAGACCTTGAAAATATATTTTCACCACATCCAAATCTATTTAATAGAAGCCACTACTACTCTAATATTGAAGCCTCGCTTCTAAACACTCCCAATGTGTCTTTCCACAAAACATACCTCTCCTTCTGAAGTCCTAAATATCAAAAACTTAAAAATAATAAATCTCCAGGCCACGACCTGATAACAAATATTATTGCTAAACATCTGCCTAAGAAAGCAATCTTACTTCTTACTTATATCTACAATAGCATTCTCCGTCTATCCTATATCCCTCCCACCTGGAAACACTCAGTCATTATCCTAATTCACAAGCCAGGAAAACCACCTGATCATCCCTCCTCATACAGGCCTATTAGCTTATTTCCTACATTCTCAAAAATCTAAGAAAAACTCATACTAAAAAGAATTTATCCGATAATAAATGAGAATAAAATTATTCCAAACGCTCAATTTGGCTTTAGGAGCCAACACTCATCTCTCCACCAATTACATAGACTAGTCGACATTATTTCCTCATCCCTTAAACAAAAGAAATTTTGTTCTGGGATTTTTCTTGACGTTGCTCAGGCGTTTGATCGGATCTGGCACGAAGGACTATTATTCAAATTATTATTTTTACCCACCCCGTCATTCCTCTTACTTAAATCCTTCCTATCAAACCGTACTTTTTCAGTAAGATGTGAAGACGAAACTTCAGATCCACATCCTATAAAAGCAGGTGTCCTCAAGGCAGTATTCTTTTCCCGACTCTCAATAATATATACACAGCAGACCTACCACAATCTATGAACACTACTCTAGCTACATTCGCCGATGACACAGCCATTATCTCAAACAACTCCGATATGGCTACCGCTACAATCAATCTTCGAGACTACCTAACCCAACCACAAGACTGGTTCAACCTACGGAAAATTAAAATTAACGAAAACAAATCCACTCACATCACTTTTATCCTCTGGCCTACTAAAATTTTCCCGGTTTACATTAACAATCAAATATCTCCAATAGACGATTCCGTTAAATATTTAGGTCTCGTTCTTAACAAAAGACCAACTTGGGCTAACCACATCAAAGCTAGAAGAACGTCTCTTAACCTCAGACTTTACAAATTAAGACCACTTCTCCGATCCAAAACCTCTCTTACTAACAAAACACTAATATATAAACAAATATTACGTCCCGCAATGACATACGAAATTCAATTGTGGGATACCTCAAAAAACTCAAACTTAATCAAATTTCAAGCGTTCCAATCAATATCTCTCCGTGTCCTCTCTAATGCTCCCTGGTACGTCAGCAACCACACCCTACACCAAGACCTCAACATACCATCAATATCCTCACTTGCCTCTCATCATTATAATATGTTTCATAAAAACACCTTTAACCATTCAAACCCGCTCATAGCTAAACTCTTCTTGTACAATCCCTGACAACCCTCTCCGTCGTCTCAAACGCAATTGGCCGCGTGATTTATTAAATAATGCCTAGTACTACTTTATAAATATAAAGTTACCTCCCCCCCCCAAGTTTAAATTGGAAGTAGTGTCAATGGACACTCCCTTCCTTCAAGTGTTCACGTCTAGTAACTATCAACACATTTACTTATATTATATTAACTTGTATATAGATTGTAAATTTTTAAATAAAAACAAATTTAAAAAAAACAAGATTATGGTAACTCAGGAATTAAGTCCAACAGATTGGGGAAAACGAAAAGATTGCTGTAATGCAATCCTTACAGTTGTGCCTCCCAACGGTATTGTGTGGGGTAGCGACGAAGCACATTTCCACATTTCTGGCACAGTGAACAAACAAAATTTTCGTTATTGGGCTGCTGAAACTCCTCTAAAAATACACCAACGACCTCTTCATAGTCCCAAAATAACAGTTTGGTGTGCTTTGTCCTCGGTAGGCATCGTGAAACCTTATTTTTTTGAAAAGAGTAGTGTTACAGTTACCGTGACTTCCAACCGGTACTGCGAGATGTTGGAGAACTTTTTACGCCCGAAAATCGAAGAGTACGAAAATAATGAAGTCTTCTGGTTTCAACAGGATGGGGCCACAGCTCATACAGCCTGTTGTTCTCGTGCTGTATTGCAAAAAAATGTTTCCTGGTCGCTTGATCTCCTCAAGGGAAAACATTACATGGTCTCCTCGCTCCCCTGATTTGAGCCCATGTGATTATTTCTTATGGGGATACCTCAAAGCTGAAGTTTCGGCCAAGAACCATTGAAAAACTAAAAGAGGCCATCCGTCAAGAAATCTCCGCAATTCCACTCGATATGCTGGCGAAAGTGATAGAAAACTTTCGAGAACGGCTCCATATGTGCGTTGCTAGTCAAGGCAATCATTTAGACAATATAATTTTTAAATAATAATTTAAAAAAACCTTATATAATGTAGTTTTTAAAAATAAAATGTATTTTCTTTATATTGTATCGTTTTTTTTTAAATTCACTTCGGAAATGTGGGAGTCCATTATGCCACACCCCTGTATATTTTACTTGTTCAGTAAACACTATTTTCATCAGATGAAAGTAGCTTATACAAAAATAATATCATGATTTTAGGTGCACTATGAATTATGAATAAAAAATAACAATTATCTGCAAGGAATATAATATTGTTATTATTGTTTAGAAATAGAAATAGACGATAATATATTAATGTACAAAATAAAAAAATCATTTAACTGTCTACACCAAAATAATGCGGCACATGAAAAATTCAAATAATTTCTGCAAGGTAATACATCAATAATATTTAACAAAAGTGGTTCCTGATATATACACAAATGTATTCTTGGGGGGAGATTCAAAATTTTTAAACAACTTAAATATTATTAACAAAAATTGAAAAATTTTCTACTAAATAAGACTAATGTCACAGAATATAATGTATAAATGAAATAATTATATTTTAGGACAGAGTAACCTGTGATTAAAAAAAAATACATAGGATAATTGTATCTCTTATACATCTCACTTTGTTGTTTACATAGAATTAGTGGAATAATTAATATTGGCTATCACTACTTATTTTCTTTGTTGAAACAAAACTTTAAAAAATAATTATAAAAAAAATAATCAACATAAAAAATCAGAACAAATTGTTCACAAACACAGGTTATTTTTTTTTTAACAAGTAGCAAATACATTAATAAATAAAATGTGTTTAACTGAATAAATTATTATAGTATCATATTAAATGATTAATGAATAATGAATAATTGTATTATTATAAGCTATGAATAATGTTAATATTTAAAATGTAATTATACATTTAATATAGGTACTTCTTAATACCAAATTAAGCTAGATTAAAATAGAGTAAATTACATGCCAAAAAACTGTTACTTAAAAAAAATAAAAATAAAAATCTAAAATATTATAAAATGACTTGATGTATTTGTGACTAATATCTATTATGTATATAATATTAGAACTAATATAAAGTAATAATCAAATTTCCCTGTTTGGATAAGTTGTTCAACATTGTATAAATATTCTCAAAATATAATAAAAACAAATTAAATTTAGTAGCATGTGTGTATATTGGAAACTCAGTCGATAAGTATAAGTTTATTTTATTTTATTTTTAATGAAAAAACAAATTTCTACATTGTTCAAATCATATAAATGATTTAATTAAAGCAGTTGTATTAATAACTGGCACATTTTAAACAGGTTTTCATAATAATATTATATTTAGTTATTAACTATTCGAAATTAAATACATGTAAAAGCTATAGGAGAAAAACACTCAAGAAAAATTTATATGTACACACTTATTGGTAGTACACTTTTATATAACTAATCAAAATGTTAAAAACACCTATAAATTTTAAAATGTGATTAATAAATATGAAAAAATTGAATTATTATAATGCTCTGTGATAAAACTCCACTAGAGAACAGTAATCGAGGACAATTACTCAGTCATACTTGAGAATATGTGTCTGAAGGGACGGGTTTTAATAACTCAAAGAATATTTATTTGCTTGCAGAGTACTTTGTAGGAGTACCATCTGGATTCAGTGCAGTGGTCTCGTTGGCTGAAGGCGGTGGTGGCATGGCAAATGCGTTACTATGTTGTGCTGGACCTCCCGTAGCATTGTTGGTAGATGATGGTTGATTCACTATAACATCATCTTCGCTATCCTCCTAGATTACAAAACAACATATTATACATGAAATTAATTATTGAATAATTATTATTGTATTCAAGTCTTTAACAATGGTGTCAATTTTATAGTACATCAATGGGTAGGTAGAATGCAGATAGATGGCTCATATCAACTTATATAAGTATTACTATAAATTATTTAAAATAAAAAAAATAAAGAAAAACCATCCACATTAATAATATTTATGATCTAACGTTAGCAGGGAATGAATGATATTAAATACATTATACTATTTGTCATAATTATTTCAAATGAAATTGGCAACACTGTTTAATACCTAAATTAAAAAAAGTATAATGAAAATGTGTTATTAATTTGTCATGGTATACCATATACTAGTAACTATTGACTAGCTTTAACAAAATTAGTACTTAAAAAATTAATTTAAAACAAATGTACCTTTTTTTTCTATGTTATACTTATTATTTTACATAAATAGCATATTTTTAAGATTATTGGTAAGCAAGCAAACAATGCATTTATATATTTACTAAAGTTACTATTTGCCAATTAAAATTAAAAATTAAACAAATTATTATTTTATAAATGTACATACAAATATAAATTATAAATTAATAATATAAAATATAGTTAGTGCCAATTTTATAGGTTAAAATTTGTCAGATAAAATGTTAATATTGCTAAGTAATTTCATTCCAAAACTTCATTGCCACCACAAATTATTATACATATAAAAATATTATAAAACATATATTATTATAGAAAATATTAATTTAAAAAAAAAAAATATATATATATTATAATTTAAATTACTCTTTATTTCTAGTTGTTTTTCGTTTTATTAGTAATGAAAATATTTAACATGAATGTATTGTGTAATAGATAAAATAATTTTGGATTGGTATAAAAACAAAATTAAAAAAAGAAAGTAGAAAACTGCTTTGCTGTATGACAGCTTTTTGAGTATACCTCTTTATTGAGGAATAACTCACTGTAACAAATGTATTAAAATTGAATTAAATAAATAAATCATTATATTAAACAAAAAGTAATTTCAATCGAAGACAGTCTATCAACCTATATTATGTGATATATTTAAATTAATGTAATTATGTATTAATGCAATTTTATTATTAAACAGATTGAATTAATTTTTACCAAAAAGATGCATATGAAAATATCATTACGTATAAACAGTATTTTATAATAGAGGAAATTTCAGGTATCAACTGTTATTTATTTTTAAGTAACATAAAAAATAAACAATTTTTGTTAAACACTGGTTTTTTTTGTAAAAACTCCTGTTTTTCGTTAATTTTTTTCCTAGTTATTTTAAAAAGTACTGATTTTTCTAAATTATCAATTATATCCACTATACTACGATAAACCACCTCCAAAGTTAATAATCAAAGCATTTCAAATGTCATAATAAGTGATGATAGACAAAAAAACAAATCAATACATTCATTACTCCACTTAAAATTCAAAACATTGAATAAAATATTTAAATAGTATTAATGGTTTTAAAATAAATTAGATATAATTCCAGTTGGAAAAAAAGCAGTTAAAATTACATTGTGAATGAGCACTGCTCTAAAAATATAAATTAGTATGATATTCAAATAGTCTAATATAGATATAATTATCTACAACATTAGTAATGTAATAATTTACTTTAAATTATTAATTAGAAGAATCTAATAGTAACTATTTTTATAAGATTTTTTTTTTTGTATGCAATTTATATAAAATATATGAATATAACTACAAGTAGTTTTCAGTTTGTAATGAACTACAAATTTATTGACCATGTATTGATACTAACTAAATAAATAAAAAATATGTTTTAATTAATTTATTTATACATATAATATTAAAATTACATGACATATAAACATACATTTATTTTGTTTTAAATAACAAATTATGCAAAAATTACCTTTTTATGAATACCATCTATATTTGAATTTGCTCCATCGTTCTACAAAATAAAACACCGAAAACAAGCAAATATTAAATGCAAAAAATGGGACCAATGATATTCAAAAAATAATAAAACTACATGATATGTAATTAACTATATGTTGAATAACAAGTCATTTAAATAAAAATATTATATTACTTTAAAGACATATCACTAGCATGCATCTAATGGTATAGCAATAAAATATGTAAATATATTTTAACAGAACTAAAATGTTAAGCTTTGATGGAAATGTGTCAGGTTCAGATATATACTATGATAAAATAGAAAAATCTAAGATTGATAACTTTTTATTTTTATTAATATTCAATGCACTCGATAATATAGTCAGAGTAAATTAAAACATCCACTAATTTATTATTAAAATGAATTAAAAATATGAATAGCATTAAATGTTAATATCTTAAATTTTTAATTATCTCACATAATATTATAAATAAATAGAAAAGCAGAAATACAAGTATAAACACATGTAAAAATAAAATAAATATTTCACTGCATTCAAATATTTACATAATGTATTTAAGAGGAAACTACAATCACAAGTATTGTCTCTGGCATCCATTTGTGTAACCTAGTAAATTTATATACCATATTCTTATAAGTATTTATTTATGATTAATATTGATACAAATTTACATATTATCAAATTTGTAGAAGAGAATATAAACTGTGCCTGAGTAATTTTTTTTATATATATTTTACTTTTAAATTTGTTAACTATGAAATAGTTTATTGTTCTCAAATAAATATAACTCCTTGTTTAAAAAAAAAAAATACTTTGCTTAAATTATATTCCTTTGTAGATTAATTAATAATATGTAAATTTGCTCTAATAAATTATAAATATAAACTATAGAAAGAATCCAATACATAAATTTGCTATGTTTAATATAAAAATAATACAAACATATATACATATGTAGTGTTCACTTAAATGTATTAATGTTTAACAATAGATGTGAGTTAATTTAATGATTATATGATAGTTTATTAAAAATAGTTACTGTGAATTTGTAGTCCCAAATTATACACAGTATAGCTATTTTTAAAGATATACAAGTCTCAACATACCTTGTTATCATTAGTATATTTTTAAAGTCTCATTAAAAAAATATATTTTACTATTCATTAATATTATTAGGAAAAATAATTTTTAATTCTATTATTGTTATTTATTATAACAAATAAACTATCACTTACCAGTTACCAATAATACACTAAGATGAACTAGTTTCCAAAAATTAATAGATCGTTCCCAAAAACATTCACTCATAAACTGTACATAACAGAACTCATTTTTAAAACATTATGGAATATTATATTAGATATATTTGATATCATTTGATTCCAAATTGGTAAATTGAAATTTTTTTTAACTTTCTTTGATTTGGGTATACATTTTTTATCTAACAACTATTCTTATTAAAAAAATTTTAAAATGGCATCACATAAATACATATTTAGCACATTTAGCAATTAATTTAAAAAGGAATACAATTATGTGACATTATATTATGAGCAATAGTACTACATATATTGTATCTATTGTTAAATTATTATGGTTTATGCAATACTACTCAATAATAGCTATAAATATTGTCATATGATAAAATAACACTAACTGTTCAATGTAATAGTAGTTATAGATCTATAAAACCTAACCAACTACTGCAGTATATTATTTATTCCAATTATTGATTTAATTTTAGACAATCTGGTTTGATCAGAACTTTTGAAATATTTAATATAAATGGACTTATTTTATTAAGAATAAGAAATATTTCTTGTTGCTGTTATAGAACATGCTTACAAGTGCCCTTAGCCAAACAAAACAAACCGGGAACTTGTGTTTTATTGTTAACATTTCCAAAACTGACTGCATGCAAACAGCAATAATAAAAAATGTTAATGATTTTAAATACTTACATGCAAATTTGTATAATTTGCTTGTTGATCTTCAGGTACGTTTGGCTTAAACTTGCCAAAACAGAAATTACAACAACAACAACAACAGAAACAACAGCAACATCCAGTAGCTATACAAGATCCGATTATTAAGGCCTGAAAAATAATAATTGAAAATTAGATCACAAATAAAAAACTAAAATTAAAATTCACATACCTTGCACCATTTTGAAGTGACAAAGAAATAAGCATTTACATTCTCCTCGCCAAACTGCTCTGCAATGTACAATCCAAGAGAACCATAATTATCATATATATTACGTTTGCTTGGATCCGTCAATATTCTATACGCCTTGTTGATTTCTTTGAACTAAAAACAATTAATTTACTCATATTATATATAATACAAATAAAACTTAGATATTAAAATATTAATTCTGTTTGTTATATTTTTTTTAGGATAATTATTTATGTAATAATGTACACATGCATGTATGTTTATATACTATTGAAATTTTGATAAAAATAAATTCAATAAATCAAAACAAGTAACAAACCTTTTCTTCCGCTTCTGGGTTACCAGTATTCTTATCTGGATGAAATTTTAATGCAAGTTTTCGATAAGTTTTCTTAATATCTTCTGTTTCTGCAGTTTTTGGTAAACTCAGAGTCGCATAAAGAGAATCTCCAGACGTTCTAGATAAAATTAAAAATATATATTATTATTATTTAAGTTAAGTCGTGCATCACAATATACATGTCTCGAGTTATTTACTTAATATAACTTCACAAGAATTAAAGAATTACATAACATTTTTAATAAATATAACCACAAATTTTTTTTTCAATTTTTCTTATTATTCAATCAAAATTAATAATAATTAATAACTGAACAGCATAATTATTATAATATTGAATTTTATAATATATCTAATTTAATGTATACTAATAGAAACAAGATTTAACAAAATTAAAGAAACCAATAAAAACAATTGATTTTAATTTATATCAAAAACTAGAGTCATTTATTTTTAACCTATGATGTTGAAATTAAAGCATTTATTCAGAAATGTTATCATATATATTTTTAGAAAACAAAAAAATGAAAAAATGTCTTTCTAAAATATAATTTATTATACAATTGTCTACCTGAACAAATTATAAAATTTAAATTTAAAAAACTAACAAGTATATTTTAGTTAATTATTTTTTCTAACTTTAGAAAGGTATTTACTAAGTAAGGAATTATAAACATATGTATACAAGGATAATCTAATAAACACTGAATAAGAACTTAAATTTGCTTTATAAATAACAATAATATTCTATAATAAAGAGTCAAATGATTTTATTGCTGAATTTATAATATAAATGATAATTGATTACCAAATGCAATACAACTAACTGCCAATAAAAATATTAATTAATTAATTAATATTATTATTACTAAGATATTAAAATATTAATAAATAAATGTAATTAAAATATTATTATTATCAAAATATCTTTAGTCTATTCCAGTTATTTATAATAGTAAAAAATAAATTATAGATAAAAATGTATCATACAAATTTTTTGAGTCCGTGGGGGAATTTCCCCTCTCCCCCTCATATCATGGTTTATAACTTATAAATAATCAAGATATTTTGAAAAATAAATAGGTTTACATTGGAAGGGGTTAAAAATATCTTTGTTTAGCGTGAATGTTAACATCAGTTACATCATATTATTTAATAATCATTTTACAAGAGATAAATTTAATACAATACATCCTGCTTCGTGAATAGCTACCATTCATTTGAATGAATACAAACCATAAAGTTAATAGGAATTAAGTGTTCAGAATAGATTTTAAAATGAGTTTAAATGTTTGTTTTTTTAACTTATTTTTCAATGTATTACTTATTACAGCAGCAGATAAAAAAAATACTATAAATTCATTTTTTGATGTTTTATTGAGTGACAACAGCCATGAAAATCGATACAAAGCTTTGCTGCAAACAGGAATACAAGATTTTTCAGTTGGATTGTTTGATGGATCAGGTGGTCGCATAGATAAAATATCAAATATTCAACGAACTGGTAATGTTATTGTGCACCCAGGAAAAGAGGAAACTTGGATAGAAATATCTTTTATTGTGCAACATCTAGATGTAATTTGGGACAATTCAACTTGTTTTGGAATCAAATGTCAGCTTTGGGCTACTATGTTGAACAATAAATTTGATGTGAAAATGGCTGTAAGACCAATCAACTGTTTAGTGTCATACAATATTAATTTAAATACTGTCGGAACAATGGAAGTGAGTGTCACAGAATTACCAAAATATATGCCAAGTTTTTTATTTAATGGAGCGTTATACATAGTAGAAACATTTTTTAAAGGTCCTCTTACGGAAAGTATCAAACATCGTATAAACCATAGTGTTATATATGATTTTATAGATGAAAATCAAATAAATCAAATATGTTTAGCTGTCAATGAAACAATCTACAACAAAATCAATTAAATTTTATGTAACCAAACAAAAAATATTTTTTACCTACTATCATATTATTTTATTCAAAAAATTAAGAAAACGAACAAAAATTAATATTATTATAGCAACATTTTTATTTCTTAATTAAATAGGTACTAATATTAAGATTAGAATAAATTTATAAAATTATTTGTAATAAACTATATTTTACTCTTTATTTATCAATTATTTTTAATAATTCTTGAAATTAATTACTTTTCTGCTGTTAAGTTTATCAGCAAAGATAAAACTAGACCAAATTATGTATGACTAATGTTCATCTTTGAATATTTAAAATAAAATAAAGTGTATAAAACAAACATTTTTATTTTTTTAATACATATATGTATCAACTTGCGACTATGCAAAATAGGTACTTACTATGTTTATATAATATACTATGTATAGTTATAAGTAAATTTTAGAATCTATGGTCATCAGAGATGACAAAATGAAATGATACTGAAAGCAAAGTTTAATAATGGTTATCCAATTACTAACTTGTAGATTATTGTTAAGTCATTGACTTACATTAACTTGTCTGTTTAAACAAGTACAGCTACATACTTTAAATTTTTACTAAAACCAATAAAGTACCTACAACCTACCAATTGTGTTGATAAATGACATTATTAAGAAGGGTATAACTGGACTTAATACTTAACTAGACTAAATAGTACAAACTACCAAATTATGTATTTAATGTTGTAAAATTTGTTGTTAACATAGATATACCATCAATTTTTGTATTAGAAGTATTTAATTGTAAAGCATAATAATTATTATTTTTATTTGCAAAACAACTCATGGTTTTCCATCAATTATCAGTATAATCAGCAAAAGTAAAAATGTAATGAAATTTATAAGTAATGTTGGAACAAAATATTGTTAAGTTGAAATATAAGTGAGCAGCTACCATTATGATGCTCATCAAAAATAGGAGTCATGAAAGATATGAATATTGCCTTTAATTAGCTACAACATAGTTATACAAATAATATTATCAGTACATTCTGATTGAGTTCGCATACCAGAATGATACAAGAAATAATATATCAATTGAGTCCCAGGTATTAACAAAAAATGTACCGATTGAGTTCACGGTTATGAAACCAAAAATATACTTATTGAGTCTTAGGATTATATTCAGTAAAATATAAAATTAACTTTAAATATACATACAAATAACTAATTGATATCATTTGTGATCCCATCACTTTTTTCAGATAAAAATTTTGATTTTATTAGTTGAATTAAAAATTATAATTTATTTTATAAGTCAATGAATTTATTTAAAACTAACATTAAAAAATTCTTATTTGTACCTATTGAATTTTTTGTAACAAACAGTACCAATGTTCTAGTTATGTAAAATACGAAAATTTTTTTTTTTTAATTTATGGGGCTTAATATGAAAACAATGACTCAATTAGTATGTATCTAAAAACAATTCCTATGATTTTTTAATTAATATTTATACTTCATTAATTATCTTTAAAATAATATATTTAGTAATAACGCTTCAGAAACAATTAAGGATACTTTTTTTTTTTATTAAAAACTTTACAATCTGTATTTATACAATACAATAGTAAATCAGAAGACATACACATATATATAACTAAATTAATTTGATGAGAGAGACTTTTCATTGATAAAACACTTCGGAACTTGATTTAATTTAAATAAATAGATCACAGTACTGTCGTCTTTTGAAACAACGAGAGGGGTTATTGAAGGAAGAATACTTAACGCTAATATTATGTAAATTTCTTGTTTTTAGATAGATAGCTTAATATTTAAATTAAATATGGTAACCATGCACAAATAAATAATACTATATAGCTAATATAATACTATGTAGCTAAATTCACATTACATAGTGCCATATAAAGTTAAATAATATAATATTTAACTTATTAGCTAATGTATTATCAAGATTTCATTATCTACATGTTAAATATAAAAATTATACAACACACTGAACACTACTTAATGTTGCAAAAACAATAATCTCAAATGTTAATAATAATTTAGTTTTAAATTAATATAAATAAAAAGAGTAATAAGTTAATTGGCGATTATATGCAATACACATTTGGTATTGGTTTCGCACAATCAATACCCACCAGCAACGACTGTTTATCGTTAAATTTAATATAAGATATCTATCGTTACGCCACACACCCGGGAATTTTATATTGGTGAACAATTTTCAATATTGTTTTTATTACTACTACAGTATACTCACGACAACTTCCTCTTGTCCATTTCGACAGCGGTGGATAGAACGCGCGATGAATTGTCGGTAAATAGCAATGAAAACTGCGAAACGCCTTATGTCCTTATCAATATGTCCGCGGAACCGTAGGTGGACAAGTATAACTGGCGCTAAAGTCTGTAGTCTAATTTTCCAGTATCATACGAGACGGTACATGAAGAGGTTGCAGTTGTGCGCGCGCGCAAGTAACGGATGACGATTAAATTATCGAAGACTGCGAGCAACGAGATGCTTTGGCGCTTAACCGCGGCGAGAACGACGTTAAAACAATTACGAATAATAATTACAAGTAACGCTGACTAAATAAAATAACTGATATGGATATATCATATTATTATCATTATTATTTTATTAATATAATACGTAAGTGTAAGGTATACTTATGTAGTATTATATTTTTATATCACTATATGTTTATTATAATAAATATCAATACAATTCTACCATTTATAACGTACTTATAGGTATATATATTTTATCTACCAGAATTGATCGCAATTCGCGATGGCGGCCGGCGGGCGGTTACGTTTTTCCAAATTTGCGCACGCGCGTCGAAACAGTGTGACCGACATTCTCGATTTCTAATATCCGCAACTCGCTCACCACACATACTGCACGCTCTGTCACCGAAAAAAGTGGACAAATGGAGCATGTTGATAGTTATTGGTTATTGGTTGGTAATTACTAATTAGTGTTGGTGACGTATATTGGTGTTGCCGTGTTAGACGTTGGTATAGCATTTTGTTAATCTTTCCTTAGTGATGTAGGTCTCTTAAAAGTCCCAGAACCATAGACGTAGGTACGTACGAGGCAAGCCGGGACTCGACCCAAATCCTTTTATGGGCATAATAAAATTTCAACCGGGTATTAATACTAATAATGTATCAATAGGTACATTCGTGGCTAGATTATATGAAAGCAAATATTTACATAAAATCATTTAATGGATTTTTCACTATACTGAAATTATTCAGTCTAATACCTGCAGTATACAAGTTGATCTTGCGAACGGATATTTTTTGAATTAACAATAGTAAAAAATAAATTAAAGAGTACTACATATACATCAAGATCGACTTAATAGTTAATTATTAATGTTTACTGAACCAAAACTAACATTTAGTATTTTTATTGACAAGTTCAAAATAAAACAGAATTCATTTATAATTATTTACTTAAAATTATTACATAATTCAGTTTGTGTAATAAAATATTATGTGCATAAACTATTTTTTGTTCATCAAACCAAGTTTTTTTTTTAATTTAGGTTATTGTGTTGTCTTATTTTATACTTATTTGTATTTAAATCGTTTTATTTTGAACTTCAAAAATATATGTCTAAAAATTAGCATATTAATGTTATGTGTACATAGAACCTCATTATATTTACTCAGTTTTTAATTTATAATTAGAATTTACATTAATGTATCAGAAAAATATTAAAGGCATTGTCCAACTATTGGGACATTAATTTTTATTTGTTCCAGACTCGACCGGAAATTGAAGTCTGCATGTGCATCGCCTATGTCCATAACAAAACGTCATAATACATTTCTCCAGATTCCAATCATTTAAAATCCCTCTAAAAAAAATAAAAATATTTTTAATGTTTATAGAATGTTTAGAATATTTTTTTAAGCATATTAGGTTATTTTCAGATTTTTTTCATATCTTTATTGCTCAGTGAATGAACAAACACTTAATGATGTTCTATTGCACCGTTACCTATTTTACAACTAATTTTAAGTGTTTTAGTGTACCTATTATACTACCGATATACGAATGCGCTATGTCGCAATACAACAGTTATATAAGGACGAATTTACATTAAAAGTCTGCTTAAAATCCTTATCTATAATTAAATTCCTGCGGCTGGTGATTATCAAGATTCCCATGGGTTAATTAATTCCATTATCAACTAAATTCCCTTGTGTATATCCTTAAACATATTTATACAGTATATTAATAGTTTATTATGTAGATACAGGGCTGGATTTAGAAATTTAAAAACCCTTAGTAATTAAGTAATGTCTACTATTTTATAATTCCAAGTAATAACAATTAATTGAAATTTACTGCTAAAATGTATTTTAATCAAAAGTTATAGTTAAAAAAATTTAATTATATTAAGATAATTAACACAAAAATAAATAAAAATAGTTAGATTTATTAAATTATATTTAGATTATATTAATACTCTTCGAAATTTCGTTGCTGCAAATTTTTCAACTACTTAAGAAAAATCTTATGATCTAACTGTTTAAGTATTTCACTTTCAATACATAAAAGAACAAGAATTTATAATCGACTTTATATAGAAATTTGTAATCTGTTTTTATTAATTTAATTTTTTTAAATGATCATTTTACAAATTCCTAGATATCGTTAGTAAATTATTATTTGTATTCTCACTTTTATGCATTCATATCATTGGTAGATATCTATAAATTTTATTAATTTATAAAAATATCAATAACCTATTAAACATTTTTATTGAAGTTGTGATTTTAATTTATACTTAAAATTATATCTGAATAATTTGATGTAAAAAATAAAATTCACTTAATGTGGTGGCCATCATTTTATGGTGTATTGAGGCCACTAAAATCCTGGTGATCCTGCCCTGAGTATATAGTAACATTCTATATATTTCTATCTAAATCACTAGATCAGAAAACTTGAAAATGTAATTCAAAATATACCTTCTAAGTTTTTATTATAACAATTTAAAGTAACTTTATTTTTATAGACCCTTAAAGTTCAAATTTTGACAAAATTCGTCAAACTCACAAATTATTTCATGGCTGAAAATTGAATACAATATTCTATATAAGTAGTTCATACTATAACCGAAAAATCTAAAATGTATTTAAATACCTACATTTTTTTTTTTAAATTAATACTTTTAATTAAAATGTTGATTAAATTTAGTTATTTTAACAAAAAATAACGATTTTAGTTATTAATTTAAAAATATTATTATATAATATATATAATATCAAACTGTATACACACAATGATATTTTAAAATGTAATATTTTCGGAAAAAATTAATTCTAGCAAGTGTATAACTGAGAATCGCTACAAGAATTTTTACATAAAATCAATTTTGTCAAAAATTGATTTCTTGATTTTGATAGAATTCAAAAATAGATAACTGTATAGGTACTTGAAATTTTAGAAATGTATTAAGTTTTTCATAAGTTGTTCTTATATCTGTATAAAAATATTTAAAATAAACATATGCACAATTTATTTTTATATGAGCATTTTCATTTCAAATTTTAACGACAATAATTTACAGATTACAAGAATTGTATACTAAAAAAAATATTAAATCTTCAATTCTTTTAGCAAAGATTTAAAAATTAAAAATAACATTCCTAATAAGCAATTCATATTGAAACTCAAAAATCTAAAAAATATACAAATACAGTTATTGTTTATATAGATATTTAAAGTTTAGATTTGTACGAAATCACATATTATGTTAACGATGAATAACAATTTTAATTATTTTGTTATAATCCAAAACGTTATTTATGGAGATTTAAAACTTGCATACCTATATTATTATGAATTTTATCATACACAACAACATTTTTAAAATATTTAGATTAGTTTTAAAACTAAAAACATTATCTATTTATTCTACAAACATATTCACTCTATTTTACAATAAAATAACAATAACTCAATAATATCATATGATATAAATATTTATTATTAAAAAAATTAAATACTCTATTAATATAATAAATTAATTTTTTTCCGAAAAAATTAAATCAATATATCATAATATAATATTAAATATGAATAGAAAAATAAATTACTATAACTAATATTATATCATGAAATATACTCAACTGGTATACATTATTAGTTAGTGATAAAGGTTGACAGACCATCATCTCCGCTTATAATATCATTTTCAAATACGATGATAAATCATTGAATTCAAATTTAATACATCGATCCATTACTGACTATTGTGACCCATATGACACCTTATGTACATTAGAGCGGTATACTCACTTGCCAACCTTTTTTTTTTTTTTTTGTATTGTTTATTCCAAATATTTTTAAAATGATTTTACACAAGTCTCCCATATATCTACGTCGTGATATTATGTAGTTTGACGTAGGTAGATATATACCCGTGTTTATAAATTAATTTGTATTTTGTATTATTAATTATTATTAAACAGAAGTTTTATAGAATACAAGCTGAAAATGACAATCGTAATTAGCCAAAAGCCAATGGACTTAATTTATTATTGTATATAATTTGTTATTTTATAATATTAATAATATGTTTATGTATTATACATAATACTATTAATTGTAAATACAAATATTTGACTATTAATTAATTACTAGTCTTTGTAGTTTGAAGTACCTACATTATTGAAAACTGTGATTGATTAATTGTTTATATGTTATAAAATACGATGATAATGGCCATAATAATTAGTTTATAACAGTAAATCAAAAATTAACTATGTTAATTAACTTGGTTTCATTTCAGTGAACAGCATCGTAGAGTAGAGCAAAATCAATCTTTCGGAATAAAAATTAATTTGAAAATAGTGATTTTGGGTGATACTTTCGTGAAAAAAATCATCTTTTTTGAATGGTAAATGTTATTCAAATACTTATCTTCATAATTATACAACCAAGAAAATTGTAGTTAATGAGTAATGACACTATCATATAATTTTAGGTATTTAAAATTTTTTATTAAGTTTTTGTTTTATAATAATTAATACGTCATCTAATTTACAATATAATTATTATTATTTATATTCATTTATAACTGCATTGCCGCGTTTACTCTTAAAATATTTTATTACCAGCTTATAATTTTTAGTTATCTAAATTTACTTAAATATTATAGTAATATTTATACCAAATAACAGATATCATTAACTTACATAATATAAAATAAAGAAATTAAACAGAATTTTTTCAAGATACTTATTAGTTATTATATATAAAATATTTCTACAAAACAATTTTTACTGTAAAAATGTGAATATTTTGTCATAAAATATATTATTTATTCAAAGTTCATTTATTTTAAATACAGTGAATTATTTATGAGAAGCTCTGTCAATATTGATTGCTGTAATTTTTAAATCATTTAAACCTAATATATCGAATATCAATCATTATGTAGGTACTAATGTACTATTCCTAACAGCTACGTACTTTTAAATAACTTAGAAAGTGATGGATAAAGGTTTATGCAGTGGCGAATCTATGATTTTTTTATGGTGAGTGCTATATTGTTAATAATATTTCTATAAGTACTTATTATGTACAATTTGGGGGGGGGAGGATTA